AGTGACGAAACACGTCTCAACCCTCGGTCGCCGATGCTCTTGACCTCAATATGAAAGGGTGTTAGCATTCATTTGTGTGTTGGATGCATTTACATTAAGTTGCAAACTTGGCCTCTTAGGCCATCATGCATCGAAATGCATAATTGATGGCCCGAGGGTCGAGGACCACGCTCCCTTGAGTTCATTGCATGATAGGGAGTGTGGCCATGCTCACATTTGCTTGAAAATTCCATGCCATACACTGCTTGCCCTCTGCTGCTGTCAACTGTAGGATTCTGCAAGAATTTCTCACTACAAGAAATGACACTTTTGGCGACTACTTTTGGCAACGACGTCAATTTTTCATCGCCAAAAGTATATTTTTGGCGACACAGTGATGAATTTCGTTGGTAAAACTATACCTTTACCGACGCAATTTGTTGGCGTCGCTAAAAAGGCATAACATTATTTTAGCGCCAAATTTTTTGGTTGGCGCCAAAATTTCAAAACTTTTACCTACGAGGCTTATGTTTTAGCAACACAATGAGCGTTGCTATTAGTGTGCTTACTTTTGGCGACGACAAGTTGGCGTGGGCAAAGAGTTAACCATTTAGCGACGATGACACTATTCGTCAGTAAACATTTTGCTAGTGGAATGATGTGATTTAGTGATTTGTGTTTTTGATTATAATTTTTGAAAGAGTTTTAAATATTTTAGTTACTGAATTGTAAAATTAAAATGATCATTGAATTAGATCACAAAATGAATCCGTTGAGCTCAAACACACTCTTAAGTAGAGACGACTAATTTGGGATAATTTAAACTTTTTCAAAGAATATGGTTAGATTATCAATTTCAATATGTTTGTTTTTATTTTCAGAAACTAGTTTCAAATTTTTTTTCTCCTAAAAAACTAAAAAAAAAAATTGGGCGAAAAAAAAAACTTAATATTTTTTATATATTTTTATCTTTTAGGTCATAAATACTTTTTAAAATTTGAAAAATATAATTTTGATTTTTATTGCTTGCAAATTATTTTTAATTTTTTCAAAAAAAACAAATCTAATTTTTTTTGATTTTTTTTAATCTTTTAGGTTATAAATACTTTTTAAAATTTTAAAAATATAATTTTGATTTTTATTGCGCTGAAATTATTTTTAATTTTTTTAAAAAAAAAACAAATTTAAAAATTGTTTTGAATATTTTATTTTATTTTTTTTTTTGGGGTAGAGCAGGTGCTGATCGACGGTGGACATTTCCCTCTTAAAATTCCCTCCTTTTTTTTTTCCTCATCAAATCTCCCCAAATCAATCTCCACGATTTCACTCCTGCGCATCCTTATCTCAGAATTCGTAGTTCTCTCTCCCTCACGATTTCACTCTTGATCGTAGGGTTTGTGCTGTTTGCTGCTGCCGTGCGATATCGGTGCTTCAATCTGCCCTTACAGGTTTCTTCCCTTTTGCTTTGTATCTCAATGCCCCTGCTTCTCTCTCTCAATTTCTTAAATGAATCTATGCTTGTCTATTTTCACTATTACGAGTTTCGGGAGTCTAACCTCTAGTGCACATATTAACCATCCATTTAGTCAAGTTATGTTAACACCAATTGCAAATGCAGTATCTATGGACTATTGATCCTTCGCATGCATTCCTGGTTCAATTCCTTATGGGTAATTTAACTAACTTTGACTTGAATTGGTAGAATAATTTTTTTTCTTCTTGTCCAATTCATTATGTCTAATTGATGCATATGACCACAGACCCATGTAAGATTTTGCAATTTGCAGGGGATATACTTTAATGATTTATTTGGATTTTGAAGATTATTAGCAGTCCATAAATCCTGGATACAAAAAGAAGTTATTTTAATTTTTATTTTTTATTTTTTGACTATTAAGTTTCTCAAGCATGTGGTGGAAAGAACCTATATGTTATTTTATTTTATTTTCATAATTTTTTCTCCTTCCCATAATATTTGAAGAGTATATCAGGTTCTTTAGAATTGATGAACTAATCTTTGCCAGTGACATGGAAAAGGAAGGTTCAAATTGGCAGTGAGGAAACAAAAGAAAAAAATATGATAAAAATTAGTGAGAAAACAAGTGATGAGTGGTATCCTAGTATGGCGTCCAGTACAAGAAGAAAAAAAAAGGGTGTGAAAACTGAGAAAACAAGTGCAAAAAAAAAAAAAGAAAAGAAGAGATTTTTATATGTGGAAAGTACTCATCTTCGAGTCAACTCTTTCCTAATTTTGTTTAACAAATTACCTTAAAAAATACGATAAACAAGCATGTGAGAAGGGATTGTAATAAAGATTAAAGACCATGAAATCCCAGAACAGTTGGATAAGTGATTACTTAGCTATGAAGCACCATACACTTCAACAAATGGGTATATACTTTTGGCTTTGGGGCTTATTGCTGGTTAAGATTATTTTTGCTAGGTATACCCATTTGTTGCTTCATCATATAAAAATTGTAGAAATGGAGATAAAGAAGAAAATTGTACTGTAATAATGTAATTGACTTCTTTACAATGCTTTTGACATTAAAGACTCCATAGCTGTAAGTTTCTCTGCAAGGAATTGTTAATCTTTATCTATTACATTCTTATTGCCATCAGACAACATATATTTTTTTAATTTGTTGTTTTCTGGAATTCATGAAGAACACCCAATTTGAAAATTAATGAGATATTGCATTGATATTTGGTGAGAAGAATTGGGAACTAAAATTTTGCTTATTAGTTGATTTAAACAAGCAAAACAATAAAATGCAAGAGTAGAACCAGAGCTTGTATTGATGGAAGTCATTTTGACAGAGAAACTCTTAACAGTAGGATCACTCCATGCACAACAGGACCACTGACATACAAAAACAGATTCCTTTATTATTTTCATAAAATTTTGTAACAGCTTGCATTGTTACATTGGTTGGTTGCATTGTAAAGAGTAAGGTTCATCTTTTTGTGCAGTACTTGAATGTTAATGATACGGTTTTAAATAGGGCAAATTACATATACCCCCTCGAGGTTTAGCAAAATTACAAATACCCCCCTGAGGTTTGAGAAATTACAAATACCCCCTGAAGGTTATATTTTCATAACAAATCAGGGGGCAATTTGATATGAAAATATAAACCTCATGGGGCAATTTATTATGAAAATATATATCTCAGGGGGCAATTTTTAGGGCCTTCTTCTGGGTTGTTGAGATATGTGTGTATGATGCATTTGTTAAGTTCATTGGTTAAAGTTCGCGGCTTTCAAAATGGGTTTTTGTTTTTTTGGTCTATAATCTGTCTAATTGCTTATTTATTTATTTATTGGTTAATTGGGTAAGTTTATGTTAAATTTGATTAAATTTTAGTTGTGTATTACTATTGTGAACCCATCAGCGAAGAGAAATGGAAAAAGAGGGACCCATTTAGTGGAATTATATAGGCTTTTTGGTTCAAACAAGGCCAGTTTGCTTATGTCATTTCTACTCTCCAGAATTTGGTTTTGTTTTTGTTTTTGTCTTTTGATTTTCTGAATTGTTTTATCTTTAAGATTATATATATTGATCTCAGTTTATGTGTTAAGTAATTAACAACTATGATTTGTTGTTATGAAAATGCAGTAATTGGGGAAATATTGGTTTCTAACACACATATATATATATATATATATATCCACACTTGAGTTTATACTATATATACTATGGTGGGACACTCCTCACCTTATTGTACCTTTTTCCCTCTAAACAGTTCCCACTCTTTTGGTGTCAGTTATCTTCAGATAATAATTTCTCTCATATTGCCTAGTGGTATCATTTTTAAGAGTTATTACTAACATCACTTCCATACCATTGGTGAGGGACTATGTTACATGGGCTTGAGTGTGATGAGGAAACTTCTTAGGTTTGTTGATGTTGATTGCAAAGTCATGTTGAATTTTCAATGCAAGGTAGGCCTTTTAAAAAAATTACAAATAAGTGGTAAACTTTACAAGTATATTAATAATTAAAGACAAAAGTTTTTCATCAATCTGTAATAATTTTTTGACAGTTCCACTGATTAGTAATTTCCCCTTCAATTTTCCCCTTCTTTCTAGAAGACCTTCAAAAAATGTGCCCGTGAAGTGGAGGAACTTAAGTGATTTAAAAGGAAATATAGTAGATAAGTTTTGCATACTATACAACCCTTACATGGTTGGAGCATGAACCTCAATATCTGTACATATTTCATAATTATACACCATGGGTCACTTCCTTTTCTCAATCCACAAAAAATTCCTCAAACCCAAATAAAGTGCAACTCGAGGAGTAGCATAAGAACTAACCCACCTTAACCCCAGCCTGCTATGTGGCTCCACTAGAACATATCTGCTTGATGACCCTCACCTATTGCCCCACGCCTTCTTCAACTAGATTGAATGTCTTCTATCATATTTGAGACTTTTTGATGTGCTCCTCACCATCTCATCTCATTTCAAGTGAAACACTTTCTTGAATTTCAAAAAAATGATGTTCGGTCCAAATAGCACTACTCTCATGCATTCTCTATACCACCCATACTTTAAGAACAAAAATGAAAAATTTGAATTATAAAAGAAAAAAAAAACTTTTAACATTTGGAAAAAATCTAGATGACCCATTTAATGTGTTTAAATGATGAACACGTGTGTCTTTCAAGTGTTTGAAGTGTGTTTGAGTGTGATTTAAAATAAAAGACATGTTTGGATGCAGGTGCAACATGTGTCAGGAAATGTTTGACGGGTGTCAGTGTTCGACACGAACACACCACCTTCTTAGAACTGTTCGTGTTTATTAGCACAAGCATAATATGTATTTTTGTTCGTTTGAAGAATTAAGAAAGATAAATTAGATACATAATTTACCTATGAGTTTTTTTTCTCTTCTTTACTTTTTGGGTTACCTACTTTGTGTAGTTCCTTAGTTTATTTCAGTTAAGATATTGTTTTAACAAAGGGAAATAGTACCGGTTGTGTCCTATTGGTATTAACTACTATCTTATGATCAGATATGGACAGGAGCTGGATGTTAATTTCTAATAGATTCAGTCAGCCATTTGTAGATGGGGTGAACTCATTTATTGAATTTGCAAAGGTTCATTTGGGTGAGGCTAGGGAGATTAAGTGCCCATGCATCAATTGTTGTAACTTTTATAAGCAGGAGTATGATATTGTGAAGGCTCATTTGCTCATAAGTGGGATGATAGTATCATACACCACTTGGTTAGAACACGGTGAACTTCCAGAACACAATAACCTTGATAAAAGCAATGGAGAGAATGATGAGGATAAAGATGAATATGATGAACTGATAGAGGACTATCAAAGGGGGAATTTTATGGAGGGTGATACTCTAGAAATAGAGGATGTACGACACTTTGATAAATTGTTAGATGCTTCCCAATGTTTCTTGTACCCAGGTTGCAAAAACTCGGATACTTTGTTGTCATTCGTTATTCAGATGCTACATGTGAAGGTAGAAAATAGGTGGAGCAATAAGTCTTTTGACAAGGTTTTGGAGATACAAAGGCGATTCCTACCAGAAGGCCACGTGGTGCCAGGGTCAATTTACGAGTGCAAGAAGTTACTACGTGACCTGGGCTTGGGGTACGAGCTCATCGATGCATGTAAACATGATTGTGTACTATTCTGGAAGGAGAATGCTCACTTGGAAAAATGTCCCACATGTCAAGCATCTAGGTACAGAGTAAATGATAGCAAGGGTAAGAAGATCCCTCACAAGATATTGCGTTACTTCCCATTGACACCTAGGTTGAGAAGATTGTACATGTCTAGGAAGATGGCAAAAGACATGAGATGGCATAATGATAAGCATGTGGATGATGGTGTAGGGAGGCATCCGACTGATTGTAAAGAGTGGAAGGAATTTGATTTGCATTATCCAGAGTTTGCCCAGGAGACTCGCAATGTTAGGTTGGGCCTAGCCACCGATGGGTTCAATCCTTTTGGGAACATGAGCACTTCCTATAACATGTGGCCTGTCATACTCATGCCCTATAACCTCCCACCTTGGAGATGTATGAAGGCCCCATTTTTCATGATGTCCTTACTTATTCCTGGACGTAATCAACCAGGGATTGATATTGATTTCTACCTAAGGCCGTCGATTGATGAGTTGAAGGAGTTGTGGGAGAATGGTGTGATGACTTACGATGCATCCACTGAACAGACCTTCCGGATGTATGCAGCTGTAATGTGGACCATAAATGACTTCACTGCATATGGTGACTTATCTGGATGGAGAACTAAACGTTATTTGTCTTGCCCTTCTTGTAATGATAATCCGTTGTCACGCGGGTTGATCAGTAAGATTGGGTGGGTGGGTGGGTCATCGAGCTTACTTGCCTGATAACCACCTTTGGAGGAAAGACAAGAAGTTTGATGGTTTAACTAAGCTTAGAAAGAAATCCTTGGATTTACCGGTGGAAAAAGTAATGGCTCAATTGGATCAATTGCGAGAAGTCAAGTTTGGAAAGGATCCTACCAACAAGAAAAGACCACGAGAGTCTGAAGAATTGAATTGGACAAAGAAAAGCATAATGTGGGAGCTACCGTATTGGAAGAAATTAAACCTTCGACACAATCTTGATGTTATGCACATTGAGAAGAATAGTTGTGAAAACTTTTACGGGACGATGTTGGCCATAGATGGGAAAAACAAGGACATGTACAAAACACGTGATGATTTGCAAGAAATGGGCATAAGGAAAGAATTTCATCTACAGAGGAAAGATAACGGATCCGTTGTAAAGCCTCGGGCAGCCTACACATTGGATTCTCGACAAATAGATGGTTTTGTGAATTCTTGAAGTCTATTAGTTATCCAGATGGCTATGCAGCAAACATCTCAAGATGTGTGACTTCTAAAAATGGAAGATTATCGGGCAAGAAAAGCCATGATTGTCATGTCCTACTTCAGCGACTTCTACCAATTGGCATGCGTGGTTTTGTGAACAAAGAGATCTGTACAACACTATTTGAGTTGGGAAACTTCTTCCAAGAACTGTGCTAAAAAACATTAAGGCAGATTGATTTGGAAAAAATGGAGGAACAAATTGTGCTCATACTTTGCAAGTTGGAGAAAATTTTTCCTCCAGCTTTCTTTGATGTGATGGTCCATTTGGCTGTTCACTTGCCCCGTGAGGCCATGTTTGCTGGACCGGTGCAATATCGATGGATGTACCCGATCGTAAGGTAATCATTATGAACATATGGTTATTTATTAATTTGTTATAACTAAAATATTGTGCAAAAATCCACCGATAAAAGACTATTGTTAATGAAGTAATTTTCTTGCATCAAGAAGCATAATTTTCATTGTGAATTTTTTTCGAAGGTTTCTCGGGACTTTGAAAGGGTATGTCTGTAATAGAGCACGTCTAGAAGGTTTTATCGCTGAGGCTTACATTGTCAAAGAGTGTCTTACTTTTTGTTCAATGTACTTAAAAGGGATTGATAAACCTGAACGAAATGATGATGGTGGTGAACGTGGTCCCGGGATGGAGGTCTTCACCCAAAATGCTCGTCTATTCTCACCTATCACAAGGGCTCTTGACCCTTCGCAAAATGAATGAGAAATGGCTCATTGGTTTGTGTTGTACAATAGCTCTGAGGTGGAGCTATATATTGAGTATGTATTTAAATTTAATTACATTTATGCATAATCGTTCCATTTTGCTTCGAACTCTCTAAGTTAATTACGTGTATAACATTTCCTTGGGTAAGGAGCAGAAGAATATTTTACGTAATCTACAAGGACGTGACGTTACTCGGGTACAACAAGAAGAATTTCCAAAATGGTTCAAAAATTGTGTAAGATATACTAAAGAAAGAACTGAATATAATTGTTGAAACTTTCAATTCACATTAACTTAGTACACTTGTTATATGTTGTTTTATGTAGATGAATGATTTGCGAATGAAAGGGTCACCTAAAGCAACTGACGAATTGTGGTCATTAGCAAATGGTCCTGGATCGGTAATTGACTTTTATTCTGGGTGCATCTACAATGGAATTCGATTCCATACTAGAAACCGTGAAAATCGTCGTGCCTGCCAAAATAGTGGGTTGGTCGTAGAAGGGGACCGTAACGGGAACCAAATTAATTTTTACGGCTACTTATGCAAAATATGGGAATTGAAATACTTGCATGGGTGTACAGTGGTTTTGTTCCAATGTGAATGGTATGACACCGGTCACAAGAATAGAATATACTCCGTTGAACATGTCACAAGTATTGATGTTACAAGACTTTGGTATAAAAATGACCAATTTGTTCTACCTAGTCAGGTAAGACAAGTATTCTATGTCAATGATACCAACAAAGGAAAAAATTGGAGAGTGGTTGAACGTGTTAAGCATCGGGGAGTATGGGATATACCAGAGCGGGATGATGTCTCTAATGATGCTTTTCGACAGGATGAAACCACTGATGGTGTTGGGGTAGTGATCCAAGATAATGATGTTCAATACAGCAGGGATGATATGGATCCTGAGATCATGTTCAATGATCAACTAATGGCATAGAATTTAGTTCACAATGATGACGAGGATGACACAATCATAGAGTATAATGATGATGAAGATGATGAACTGCATAGACAACCTGATGTTGATGCAGATCTTGATATAGATCTTGATATAGATTATGATATGCAGTGTTTGATATGGATCTTGATATAGATTATGATATGTAGTGTTTGATTTTTAATTATATGGACAAGTGTTATAATTTAATAATAAATTGCTTGGTTTACATTGCATGGCATTGTTTTTCAAATTTCATAGCATTGTTTCTTATTTCATTTCATCTAATTATATGTCATATGTACAGTTACAAAGATGTCCCGAAACGGTAAATTATTTTTGAAGCCCGGCGGCTTAGTCCAGAAGATGACGAAATATGAGAAGGATAGGAAAAAAACAATCCAGAAAAATAAAATCAGATTTGATGCTCTAGGGATAAAGTCCCTCAAGAATTCAATGTTTGGTTCTATTGAAAAGGACAATAGTGAAAGTTGTAGGATGGGAAAGAGAAAGGTGGGTGAAACTGATAATGACGAGGACTATCAACCACTTGATGATGATGAAGGACTGAGTTCTTCAAGTGATAATGGCGAGCCTTTTGATTCTCAAGTGATTGAGGTAATAAATGTGTGTTTAAAAAGTAATTTCTTTATTTGTTTCACTTGTTATATTACTTGTGGTATGTTTAGTTATTTCAAATTTATTTTTTATTAAGCAACCTTAAATTACTGAAAATGTACTAACAATTCTTTTTTATATTATGTCAGGATATTCATATGGGTCCCGGTAAGAAAACAAATAGGTGTGCAGATCGCCTAATAGCTTCACAAACACTTAGGGCAAAGAGAAGTATTGTTGATGAAGATACACTTACTCTTCCGAGACAACCTGTAGCTGCACAAGTTAATCATTCAGCGAGCACACCTGAGGTCTTGACCCAACCTATTCATCTTCACGCCTTACATACTAGGCCCGATCAGCTCCCTACCTCCGCCAGTCAACCTGACCACCTTTCAAGTCCATGTACTGTGACTACAGTGGAGGTGAGAAATAAATGACGACTTAAATGAAATGATAATTTCTTATCTCAATATTTATTTAGTGCATTCATGTTTTATGTCGACTAAATTTAATAAAATTTTGGTCATAATAGCATCAATTCAAGTTTTGGGCAAGAAACGTGTACGAGGACCGACCCGAGGAAAGAATGTGGAGAAGATTAGAAAGGAACATGGTGATCGAATACCTGTTACACTTAACCGTTTGACTAAATCAATAGAAGGGGATTACGCCACACCGCTAGCAGCTACTCTTGGTCAACAAATTCGAGTTCATGTCCCAGTCCGAAATGATGGATGGCTAGAAATTGCCTTTGGGTTAAGAGAGTCCATTGTTACAAGAGTTGGGGTAGTTTGAAATATATGTGTTATATATTTAACATGTTATTTATGTTAATCGCAATGATATATAAAATATATTGAATTTTATTATTTCGAATTGCAGCAAACTTTGGACTTTGGGGACTACAATAATGATGTGGATGTGAGATGTATTATTGATCATAAGTGCCAAACTTTGTACAGTGAATGGAAAAGTAGATTACACACACACTACAAATCCCTTAAAGAAGACAATGTATCTGACCTCAAAAGTCAGATACTATATCCTTGTACAAAGGATGATTGGGAATGGATGATTGACAATCTGTGGGAAACTGATGATTGGAAGGTATTTATAAAAATATTTACTAAAGTAACATTAAAGTTAGAGAATGCGATGAAAGCGAGAGGTTGTGTGAAGTATAATCATACGAGTGGCTCGAGATCATTTGCATCGCGAGCATCTATCATTGTAAGTGTAGATTTACAAATTTGAACATACTAAATTATAAATATATAATTTTTTGATTGACTAGAAAATCTAATGAAATGAAAGGTACAAGGAAGCAAACCGACTATTACGAAACTATTCGAGGACACCCACAAACGTCACCGACATGGGGGAGTGTGGATAAATAACACGGCTGAGGAACATCATGTAACCATAACTATTTCAATTTCAATAATAAATGTTTGCATTTTGATATTATGTTTTAAGCTTATTTATGTTTCATTCATAGGCCACTATGGTTTCAAAGATCGCTGAGCAATCTCAACCTAGTGTCACACATCCATTGTCTGAGGAGCAGATTTCCAGGGAAGTACTTGGGAAGAGGTCGGTCTACTTGAAGGGATACGATATCCGCAAGGATAGTACTTCATCTTCTACAATTAGCTGACCAAGGAAAGCAGTTACTTGACCAGGCTCAAAACATGAGTACAATGCAAATTATCATTCAAATGTTGGCAGCAAAAAATGGGATACATCTAGCAAACATTCGGGGTTAGTTCCAAGCACCAATGTCGGGGAGGATGCATCGGGTGTAAGGGAGGATGAAACTTCTCTCGGTTGAAATAGAGGTAAATTTGACACTTCATTAAATTGATTTCCTTTATTTAACCAATCCTAACATGTGTCAACAATATAAAATTATATAAACTTTGTATTACAATCCTAGCATTGCAACCTTTGTATACAATAGCTTGATAAAACAATAGCTTCACAACAATTTTCTGATTAATTTTAAATGTATTTGTATATTATTGTTGAAGTTAATGCATTAATAAAATACTCATGTTTTTATCCTTTTGTTCACAGGTTGGTGATGGATGTTCGTGGTTCAGTAGTGATATATATCGTTTTGCACGTTGGCATTCGTTTAATTTTTCTTTGTTTCGTTATATATGTTCTTTTGTTGAATGTTTATATACTTTTTGGAATTATTATGTTTGGGATTGTTGGATATAGTTAGATGCATTTTAGGATTATTATGTTTAGTATTGTTGGATATTTGAATAAAATTTGGGATATTGAAATGCATTTGATATTAATTTGGTTACATTACTAATTGTTATGATGTGTTCAGCTTAGTTTTTATTATTTGTTCAGCTTAGTTTTTATTATTTGTTATATTGGTACTGTGGAATCTGATGAGACCTTGTGTAGACGCGCCTGCGTGAGGCCTTCGTGCTACAGTTCGACTCAATTTGTGTCACGGTTCTTAATCTGAACCAAAGAGTCCAAATCCGGCAAATCGTTTTGAGAAAACAGATTTTTAGAAAAGAAGTGCCAAACATGGACTGCTTTGCCAGATACAGAGTCGCCACCTAAATATTTTTTAAGGGGGAATTTAGGAAACCCTGACTCAGTGCCAAAGGCCACGTGTCCGTCATCACCAAAGTT